TTAACTGTGTGGTCCACCTCCCGGATTGTCACAACAGATGCAGTCCTGTTATTCGGATGGTGCCAGAAAATTTAGAGAGAAAATTACCAATAATGTAATTCTGTCTTTAATTTGGTGTAGGTGCTAATTGTACTTTCCACTTTGGTTTACATTTTAAATCTGTAGATACAGTGGATGAAAGACAATGCAAAGTGTAGAGAGATGACATTGGAGGAGTATCGTGCCATGTGTTTTCCTGCCCCTGCTTACACCTACTTACGGTACCAGAAATGATTTATCAGAGCTGCCACTGTGGGACATTGTTTGACGAGAAACCATAGCTCAGACTGAACGCACTTGTGAAAGGAACGCAAACCAGCACAGTGCAATGAAAGTAATTTGGAAAACTGATTGGCCAAAAACCTTTTAAATTGTGCCAAAATATGAAATCATTTTACAGAACGCGTTGAGGGCTTTTCTTGTCGTAGGTGTCTCCACCAAACACTTTTAATCTCCAAAACAACAAACTTTAGCAAGAATTCGGGAAAATAGCAAGCAGCCACATGATATTAAAAAATCAGTCTATACACCATAGTAAACATCATTAAAGCAATTTCTCTCACTGGTCATATACATTTTTTCTGGCTATATACTGTACTTTTTTGATTATACACACTGTATGTACAACCAAGGCCCATTTGTTGTTTGTGTTTATTCCAATTTAAACCTGGTTGTTTTGGCCTTCATGTAGATTACCATAAATCTTCACATATTCTTCTCCTTTTAGGCCGAGCTTCCAATCAGATAATAATAGGAGTCCTTGGTGGTTGCTAGGTTACAGTTAAACAAAATTGGTACATGGCTGAAAACCTGGCAGTCTGAGGAAATGGAGTATATATATATGGAGAACAAAGAATGGTGATTCAATTAAAAGAGAACCTTGTGTATCAACGACATAATCAATCCCAGGCAGTTACAGTGGATATTTACCTAATTGACTCTGTCACTGCCATTACAGCTTGCTCAATGTATTGTGCTGCATGGCAACTTGTGACATAAACAGTCATTCTGTAGTTTAGGAAAGTCTTATGCTTGCACTGAGAAGAAAAGGATTTTTCTGATGGGAGTACAAGCTTCGCACAAGAAGGACAGGAGACATGTGGAGTACACAGAGTTTCGGATGGTAGAGCATGAGAAGACGCCATTTGGCCTGTCTTGCTGGTAATTAGAGAGCCTAGAATTTGATCGGGCCGTTGCATGAAGAACCGTAGAGCATGAACCCCACAAAATGATGTGGAGAACTGAGTGTTTCACACCCCCACAACCCTCGAGAGATGCTGGTAGGATAGCGTTACTGTACATCATGATGACTCGCAACTACTTCAACACCAATATTCTCGTCAGTCATATTACAAGCAACTTTTACTTTACTTTCCATCATTCAAAATTAATTTCAGCTGCACTGTGAATTTCACAGAGCAGCGGGACAGAGGGGCAAATATCATAATGGATTACAGTTGCTCCCCTCATTTTTCCGCAACAAAAAATGAGTTTCATAAGCAGCATGTACTAAGATGCTTCCTGACCCATTAAATGTGATTTTTTAATTCTACGTTGACTAATTGTAGAAATCTACAGAAATTCTACAACTGATTCTGTAGAACAGCTAATAAAGTGTTCTAAAACAGAGGAATGCAGAGGAAATCACAAAATAAGTAAATCGCCAAACCCTTGCGTATTTTACTGTATGTTTCCACTCCCAGCCCACTGACCTTTATAAAATGAAGATGCTTTGACCTAACTGAAGGTGTCATATACAAATGGGGACCCTACAGTCTTGTTAAGGAAAGCCTGCAGCACTGTCTAGTCTTTCTCAGTTGTGTGATACTGCTGATCCGCTCGGTAGTACCTGATGTCCTTTGACAGATTGAGGCTGACAATGGAGTCGGCATCAATAGGTCAATATCAAGCTGGGCTGCAATGTGACATATCAGCACACATACACAACCGACTGCCCTGCCACACTGCGACTCACCACATGTGCTCCCTACACCCTACAGACATAGCACTCTGGTTAACATCGGGGTTTCTGGGGGCTGAACGTGGAGGGCTGTTTTAATGAGCCTGCGGTGGGGAATTTCTTTTTCAGCAAGAGCAATTTAATATACCTTTTAATTAATTTATATACAGTAAATTAAGAAGAATAAGGTTTGCATTTTTTTGTGGTTCCCTTGTGTGTCTGCATTTTGTGAGACGTATTTTTGAACAATACTCTCCACTTCCCCCATGTGCCCTTCCTGTGTTAAATGTGGGTTACTTCAGCCTTCAAGGATCAAAGAAAGACTGATATGAGTGACATAAACTTAAAAACAGGTCTAGCAGCACTACATTTTTCACTCAATCAAGAATTAGAAAAACTGAGATAGAGGTAAGACTTTTGGTTGAGTTTATTTCTTTAAGTAGCTCAACATGCACCTTCAACAGTTACTGTAAACGGCTTTAATCCTATTTATCAGCAGATGGTCAACTGACTTCAGGGACTTGTCCTGTCTGTCTTCTCACATTAGATATGTATATTTTGTCAGATAGGCTATCACTGCCTCTTGCTATGTAACTCTAAAGCATTTCAGACTGGATTTTGCTGATGATTTTCTCCTTGGGCTCCTCAGATCTTGCGTAATGGTTTGGAAAAAGCAACTGATAGTGATCGTGTGATACTTAATATTAAAATGCAGAATAACATATGATTGAATTATTTCGACTGTAAATGACAGACTATTTTATTCATAATCCAGATGTCTTTTTATTTGAAAACCCTGGGTTCCAAATGGTTTAGTCTTGGTTTTTTTATGATGAAGATCTTGTGATACACCAGTGAGGACATAAAATGATCATGATTGTTTTGCTTTTTTAAAAAAGGAACACAGAAAGTGAGTAGACCTGGGGGCACATCTGGTAAAAGGAAGTGCCCTCTCAAATATAATACACAAAAAAGCTAAACTGATTTTTCCTGTTTTAATCCAATAAATATAAACACAAATTATATTATTCGGCATTTAAAAAAAAATCTTATGAATATTTTTTTTTCCTTTCTGTATTACATTTGCTCATTTTTTTTAACAAGTCAGATGCAGAGATAGTGCCAAACTATGTAAAAGGAGATGTGGGCTACATGTGCTTTTTGATTGCTGTAGAAGATGGAAAAAATTATATTATTAATTTGTTTGGCAGACATTTTATTCCAAAGTGAGTTTCGTTTTGATGTATTTATTCAAATGGACACTTTACTTAAGCCATCTAAGCATGTACAAGGGTATCACAGCCCTAACTCACTCGTTAAAAATGTGCAACAGAGCCCAAACCACTCCTCTAAACCAGTTAGGTAAAACTGGGCAAAGGCCAATGTGTTTCTTCTTTGTTTTAATGCACAAGGAACTTATTTTAAAAAATAAGGGAAGCAGATTCCAAAGAATGTGCTTAACTTACTGAACATTATAACTTAAAACTTGTTTCTATATATTTTTTTTTACTTCGATATTATACGCCATTCAATACGAAGCTATTATGAGTTATATAAAGTCCCTACTGTATCCCAGTCTCATTGCAGGCAGTGTGTTGTCAGTGCACTCAGTCTGCAGTGTGCTAAGGACGTTTACACCTTTTGGTCAGTCTGGAGTCATTAGAATGGATGCCACGAATAAAGCAGACTAATTGAGATTTTGTGAACTGGCTTTTAATGTGATTTTCCTGATGGGAAGCTGAAATGCATTTTTTTTTTCCTTTGGAGTTAAAACACATCCCCTAACGTTTCCTCCCATGGCTGATGCTGAAATGGCACAATGGTGCTCTGAGACTGTGTTGAAAGGACAAGTCACCTCCTGAGATGCTGAGTGCTTTTGCAGAAAGAGTGCAGATCTCTGCGCAGTCCTGAGTGGGAATTGCAGGAGAAGAGCAGTTTAGGTCTGGATTGAAGTACTTCACATTTTTGAACAAATAGTAACGCCTAACAATCTTCCTAGCATGCCATGAGCACTAGCATGGGAAAACATTAAGAAAGCGTATTTTACTGTATTAGTATCTCATCCTCAGTTATCACAGTACAGTTTGATGGAGGAGTTTATTCGACTGTAATCTAGCATTCATTTATTTTTGTAATTCCCTAAATGAAGTATTTGTTGCATGGCCGGGCATGTCCTGAGGGACAGACTTTGTGCTGTAGGGTCTGTCTGGGGCTTTATTTGACTCAACATGGTTACACTACAAACACTCTGAGAAGGAACGTATCATTTACAGAACTTTCCTCTGGGAGATGATCTTAGGCAGCAGTGGCAGACAGGCAGAACATAAACACGGAGAGGAGCGGACAATGCAAAACTCAAGCGTGAAAAGCACTGGGAAGGCGAACCATCAGCAGCAACCTTCCTTTCCCTCGACCCCCTGAGGAGCGACAGACGAGATCGAATGGCATTTTAGCGGGATTGACACTGTATACTTGTTTTTTGTTTTCTTGATCCTTATCTTTGGGCGTCAAAGAGAGAAAAATCTTCACTTTAATCAGCACGAAGAACGAGCTGATGGGAACGGTGATTAAATCTGATCGCAAGGGCAGATTGATTTGTAAATATGTTTTATTTCAGAATTGCTTACCAAGTCCCGATAAGTGAAAAAGTTAAAGCAAAGTACATAAACAGAACGGTTTAGCTGCAAGGAATACAATACTTTTGTTACTGCTTATTGCTGTAAACGCAGAGCCTTTTCCAACGCACGGAGAGGAAGGAATGTGTGGCTGAAGAGGGGAGAAGCGGTCACCCATCACGACCTGTAGCGTAAAACATCACAGACCCTATTTTATCAGACTTTCCATCTGTGAAGGTAAACCTGCCTTCGTGACACGAGAAGCGCAGTGATTAAGAACAAAAGCTGAACACCACCACTGCGTGCTCTCCCGGGGTGTTGTGGTGGGCGGGGTTCAGATTTATGAATGACTTTCGCTTACTTGTTTGCCCACCGCGGTAATATTATCGATAGGGTGGCCTGTGGAAAACGTAAGGAAAGAAGGTCTCGGGCAACACAAAATGGGTTAACGGTAGGCGTGGACGCAACGCGTGTTCACGCCTCCGGGGGCTGAACCGCCTGGATGCTTGGTTCAAGCGTGCACTCCGGGAAAAAAAGCTGTTTGCTTGCCCATCTCCCTCAAAGCAGGCATGACCAAATTGGGGGGTTGCAGTAGTAGCGGCTCTGGAATTTATTAGCTAAAGAGAGACGTTTGTTTTGCCCTCAGGACACAAACTCTCACTTTGGTTTTGTTTTCCACCTCATTCAACTTAATTAGTACGAGGAGGATTCCGTTATTTTTTCGTGGTGTGGAGTACATTGAATCTAACGCAATTTCTGGACTAAGATAAACATTTTGTGAGGGTAAGAATTACTTTTTTTTTCTCTTTTAGCTCACCCGGTTTGAGTGCTCCTTTGGTCTCACACTGACTACTGTATGTGATAGCACTGTGGGGTAACGTTTCCATAGACCTCGCATTTAACTGGAGTTTGACTAAGGATCTTCTAATGTCCTGTACCGTGTTGCTATTTCACTTGCCTCTGTGTCTTTGGGGATATATGACACCCCAAACTTTTACGGATTTAGCCTTACACTTTTCTGTTTACGTGGGGTACCAAAAGCGAAGTACACCAGTGCGCTTCAGCAGTTTCGAACAGTCTCTTAGTTGAATGATATGCTGCACAGTAGTATTTTTAGATGAGCACTGCATTTTGGTTTATAGCTTAATTTGTACTTCACAAATTTTCAATACAGAATCCTAAATGAAGTGTAACTCGGTTGTCTTTTTGTTTTCTTTTGCGTTAAATAGTTTTATATTTATATATGAGTGAACAGTTCATTTTTCCTTCCAAGACCTCCCACACCCGTGAACTGCGGTCTGAGCTGCTGACCCAGAAATCAGTTTTACCTTTATTTTGAGGCACCGGGTTGTTCGCACGTCGGCTGTGATACAAAGCCAAGCAAGCGTGCTGTCTTGGTAGTGTTTTGATGGGATTAGCACCACTGTAAGTGTGACGGAGATATCGCTGTAATTAACTACACGAGCGAGGATACAAATCAGGATAGTGGATATAATCCCTTGAATTTAAAGAATCCCTAGAAGTTAAAGTAAAATGGCAAAACAAAACATTTAACAAAAGACGAATTTAATCAATGTTAAGTACTTTTAAAAGAGAAAATGATTTTTGCCAGCACCTGTTAAAAGATCTGTCCGCCGCCCGTGACCTAAATTGTGAGACTTTGCTTTTCATTTTACAATACCAGATACAAAATAAGTTACAAAATAACTTTAATATAGTGAAAGTAGCGAATAGTTTTAGAGACGCAGTTTGTTGGACTTCGCCTTCGATAACTGCTAACAGCAGAAATAATGGAATAAACTGATGTTTATTTATTTCCACAGTAATTTGGGGCGTGATAATTTTGGTTATGAGGGTTGCTCTCTTGGGGTCGGATGCCCTTAGGTCTATGCATTCATTTATTGGGAGTTAAGGACATTCCCACACGGTTTTTGTTATGAAATTGTGTGCTGAAGAACGTGTTAAGCTTTAACCCATGGGGGAGCCGGAGTTTTTCGCAGGGAAAATGTCAGATGTGGAAATCCGACGGGGGCGGGGGAGGTCCTGTTATTGCCAGTTGGGTTTGCTTGCCCTTACACCTTGGGTCACCAGATGGCTGTCGCTGTCGGCAGCACCTTGCCTCCAGGAGATTGTCTGCGCCACTTCTCGTCAGGCGGAGCGTCTTGCGTCTCCTGTCGGGCTGCTGAAGGCGAGGTTAACTCGAATGTTCCCAGTTCTAAACTTAACATGGCCAATATTCGTTTTCTGTTCTGTGATACAGCAGTTGTTTTTTTTTTTTTTACACCTGAGTATTTAAGGAACATCTTGTATTTTAGCTTTGTCTTGTATCAGCTTTCTCAATTTGATCATTTAGATGCAATTAGCCCCGGAGCGATTATCTAGTAGATGTGAGAAATACATAATTAACGGGACATATTTGTTTTCAGCTGCTTGGATACAACTTTTTTATTTTATGCATTGTGATCTTTAACTACGCGTTTTTAAATTGAAACGAAATATTCCGTTCCATTGACTTATGTAACATATTGATGGTCCGTAGACCGTAAGAAAAGCAAACAGGATTTAAATTACTCCTTGTAGGTTACGCATGGGAGTAGCAATCTTAAAAACGTGTGATATGTGAGGTAAGGTTCTGGACTGTGCTACCTAACGTGGTCGTGTCATTCAGACTCGCAGAGGTGATTTTTTGCGATTGAAATAAGTCCAAGAATACAAAGAATATGGCAAATCAGTCATCTCACGAGTTTATACGAATGACTGTAATTGTCTTGTCTATGAATGATTATTGTGCTTTATAATAAAACTTTGTGGGCAACCTACAAGACTATACATTAAACTGACTAAACTGAGTAAGAGGGAAGATTTGTTTCAGCATTTTCAAACCTATGGGGATTTGTAACGAAATCTTTACCTTTAAACAGATTATTCCGGAGAAAAAAATGAATACAAATCTATACAAATATGAATACAAATTCAGGATTTTGTGATGCGCTTCCCCGAAAGAACAGCCTTCAGCCTGACAAAAGTGTCTGAGAATTTGCATTCAATGGTAAAATACTTTGCACACCACAGATGACAAATCTAACATGGCAGCGCTGCAGGCAAGCTGTAATGGGCGCAGTTAATTAGGGCTGAGCGTTTTAGTAATTGTGTGCCATTTTTCAACTTAACTTCAATGAGTTTTACAAAATGAAATACGTGATACTATCACACTGTACTGTATACAGTACACCCCCTTTAGGAATAACTGAATAATGTAAAAAAGAAAGAGAAAAATAATTAGTTTTCCTTAATTTGATGCATTTCCATTGCCTATGAAATGAGAGGACAGATAGTCCGAACAGGATCTCCAGGTCACAGAGAAGATCAAGGCAAATTATAGAAATCCTCAGTGAGTGATATACTGTAACATATTGTACTACCCTGCTAGAGTCCTCACCTATGGAATGGAGTATTAGCCTGGTCATGCACCCAACAAATGTCTTTCAGATGTTCCTAATCTTCCTAATTGTGCTTATATGAGGGATATGGTCCCCTAGGTCAGATATATAAGGCTTAAAGAAACATTTCAGAATGGCAGTTAAATATGTATGCTGGTGAGTCAAACCAGTCAAGAAAAGTGACTAAAATATCATTTTCAAGTTTGAGAACAAAATAAAAAAAAACATTTCTGCACCAGGATGCTATCTTTTGGTTGATTCCAAAACACACAAGTGTATTAATTAAAAATCTGATTGGTCACTCTCTTATACTTGCATTAAAAGAAGTCTTGTTGCTGCAATCTCTTAGTGAAAGAGCAGAAGGCTTTATGTGCGAGATCCCTACAGCAGTGCCCAGCAATCATCTGTTCCTACTAAAACATGGTATTTACTGGCTTTGAGAGACAATCAAGAGAGAGCAGGTTTTTTGCTTGTTTTCTGGACAGAATTCTGGCCTCGGTGAGAGATGACCTTGTAAGGAAAATAGTGAAAAGTGGAATGCTTTCCTTAAAGTATAACTCAATCAAATATCATGGAATGTTGTTGTCTGAGGCTCCGTGCTGGTCTGCAGCCAGTAAAACTGACCCTGGAATCTGGTAACATCCTCTGTGAATGAACCAGCTTTGAAGAGGTGAGGATCTGGGTCCTGCTCACTACAGTATGTATAAAACATATCTTTCTTGACTTCCCGAAGCCTGAACCTTCCGTGAACCTCTGTAAAAGGAGTTATGTTTCTATGCTACTACCTTCCTAACTCCTAGATACCTCCTTTTCCTAAATCCACTTGGTGTTCACCTGCTCAGAATGTTGAATCCTGATTAAACATACCATCTTTTTTGACACACAAACACCTCAATGGTGATTATATCCAGAGGCCCACAGACAAACAGCAGCTGTGGTTTGTCTCCAGTCCTCCATTAATCTTAAATACGTGCTCCTTACAGTCGTTACCTCTGGTGCAGGAGCTGAGCTGCAGTCATTAAAATCCTGCATGACCTCAAATTAATTTAAAAGCTTGCACTGCTGGGTTACAGTATTCTGACAAAGGGGCTAGGCTTCTCCATAACCTTAATATCCACAGATCTGACATTAAATGAGCCAGTCATCTGGGACTGTTTGATCCCTGTTCCAGTTTTTCTTGTCCTAATCGACTGAAGTAATTCATTCCGTCTCCCCTTCAGTCATTTCAGCTGGTTTTGCTGTGATGTATTGATGACTTTCCAAGACAAGAGAAAATGAGAGCAGGCCATTACTCAGCTCCCAGCCCATGTATTAAGTCATGCTGGCTTGAATGCCCCATAAAGATTGAGGAATTTAATAGAATATCTATCGACCTTATAAGAGAATTGATTGCCTGAAGATCTTCTTTTAAACGTGTTGTGATTTAGGGATATACAGCCATATACACCCAGTGAAGACTCCACAAGAAATTGTATCAGGCTTTTGTGGTAAAAGTAAAGTTGTTTTTATTGTTCAGATCCTCTATAAAATAACACAAAAATGAGTTCAACAACATAGGTGTAATAAATAATAAGATAATTCTTGTGCATTAATTAAACTGAAACTATTATTGTAAAGAAAAGCATACCGCTTTCATAAAATTCACATTACAGTAAGAAATGTAGTCACTCAAAAATATCAACCAATTTTGGTCTAGTCAATATGAAGTGGTTACAAGAACAAATAGCATGTGCATCATTAACGAATGCTTAAAAAAGCTGTTGACATTTAAAAGCAGAAGATACTGAAGAAAAACACTACAGGTACAGAAAAGCAGCTGAGGAATATTACATCTTAAAACATGCTTGTGGTTGGATTGGAACACCTTTCAAGGGACATTGTTCGTTAAGTAATTTAAAGATGTAATAGATCTAGTACAGGGTCTAGTACCCAGGCTTAATTTGGGGATGATCCGATGTTGGCTTGCTTTTCTTCTAATCTGAGTAGTCAGTTAAACAATTATCCTAATGGTTTACTTTGTGAGATGCGTACTGGAGTTTTCTTAAATGAGCTAAAGTGAGTATGTAAATAACAAGGTTGAGATTTGCATAAAATACATCGGAGACAATGATGCCGTGTTTCCCTACCTATAAGTTTTAAAACAGTTTATTTCATAACAGTATCCTTTGTAATTAAAACAGTAACAGTCATCATGAAGGTTTATATACATAACGGTGTTTAGGAATTAAAACACTATTGAGTTCAGTTCACTCTACTGTGCATTTTAAGGAGGACTTAAACTTGTATATGTTTTTTGGAGACTTTAGTTTAAGGTGGAACAAGTTGGCATTTTATACCTAAAAGACCTTCAGAAAGGGCATCGCGAGTGACTCGAGAGCAGGTTCAAATCAAGGGTACAGTCCTAAGTTATGTCTCTAGCTGACTGCGACCAGCGTTCCTCAAACAGCAGTGTGCAGCTGTTTGTGGGTTGCCGTTGATGTTTGCCAGTACCGACTCAGCTCTCCGCAATACAGTGGCCATGATGGCCTCCCTGGTGCCTGTAGGCTTGCGGCCCTGTCTGTGAGGGACGCCTCTCCTCTGATCCACACTTCTCCTTCTATATACAGTAGGGCTGTGTCGTTGAAAGACATTGTCTGAAAGGTGAGTGGGCTGGTGTGCAGTCTCATGGTCTGTATCTGGCAACCAAGACATGCTAAACACACAACACCCTCAATACTGCCCTCAAGATCACATCTACTGCGTGGAACTGTTGTCTTTCAGTCACCAGCTGCACTGAACGAAGGACCTACGGCCAAGGGTGAGCAAAGCAAAGATACATTTGAGCAGAAAGATCTTTGCAAGCATAGTGTTTTAGTGTAAGTAGCTCATTCCTCATGTGGGCTGTTTGGGTTTACATTGCAGTCAATTTGTGGTTAGTTGTCCCTCTTTCACCCAGCCAGAAAAAAATATATTATGGTATCTGCAGTGACATAATGAAATACCTCTAGTCTCACGATAAAGAGAACTTCCTGGGATGAGTAAAGGCCCTGCATGCTGTATTGAAAGGAAGCATTATACTTTAGAGCCCTTAAAATAACATCAAGTCTGTTCCTCTTCCACCCCTCTCCCAAAATACTGCTTGTGGCGTAGCTCCCATAAAAAGCACCCGATCACAGCCAATGTTCATAAAACAGTTTAGATAAATCCTTTCAAAATTAGTGGTAAGCTAGTCACAGGTTAATTACAATTCATGCTTGGAGCTTTCGGCTTCTTACAATAAAATACTTTAAAGAGAGAGAGCTAGTCTGGATTTCGGCTGACTGATGGGTGAACAGATAGAGCTCAGCGCAGTTGGATTACCTTATTATCTGGCAGACAGAAAAAGAACGGGCTGCATGGAGCCTTAATCCTCCCTCCATGATTAACTAGATTAGCCACATTTACGCAGTGAGGGAAGGGTGAAGAGAGGTCCCTGAGTACAAGGCAGATAACATTGACTTAAAACAACTTGCTGAGTCCTGTCGACACTGGAAGTTATGGCAGCATTTAGGCTTATCCACATCAAGAGCAAAGCAATTTTAAGTTTCTGGGAAATTAAATAATTAAAAGCAATTACATAGAGTATCAGTGTATACAAAATAACCAAGATCTTGAAAGGCTGAGATTTGGGTGGTGGAAGAGAAGGGGGAGACTAATACGGGTTTTACAAGGAAAGGCAGTTGACATTAAACAGCCTAGCTGGTACAGACAGTCCTGGATATACATTAAGATATTTATAATTGAATTTTCAATACCATGTCCAGTTTTATGAGGCAAGACAACACCAACTAAGTAGTACTATGCAGTAAAAATAAAAAAAAAGTTGTTTTAGAGAGATTTTTATTAGGGTGTGTTTTAGCTCAAGATAACCCTATGAATGTATTAATTTACTTAATACATTTAAAAAGATCCTCAATACATTAATTTCTGTAGGAATGAGAGCTGTAGTTTTTCCAAATCTCCTCCTGGTGTAAAATCACAGCGTAATGTTCCAAAATTTCCTTCTGGCTCTTCCTGTGCAACGGGAGGCTACTCAAGATGGTACAGTAGATGAACCCCTGGTTTTCATTTCTCTCCTAGTTCTGGTGCTCTGCGGTGGTTCGTATTTTTCTGTTTCACATCTCCCCTTTGCCAGGTTCTTTGCCAGTGGTGGGCTTTGTTTTCTAAAGGCAGAGCTGCAGTGATCGCATGGCAAAGCCTTACAAAGTTGAACTGTCACAAACAGACTCTTCCCGATACAGGCATAAATAGATACAAGTTTTGAAAAATTAGCTCAGTCAGTTTCCGGTCCTTTTATTTCTTGCTATCCTCCTTGTCATTTTTTCTGTCTTATTTGTTGTGCTATCTACTTTTTTCCATTTGGATTTTCTGTACCAGATTTTCTTTTTAATCATTATTCAATCCTTACCTCTTTCATTTTTCATTGGATTTCTTCACCCACCTGCATTGTTTCCTGTGTCTCTTGTACCAAATGGGATGTATTTCCAGCACCAGTCTACCTCACTTCCTATCGAATACTCCCATCCATCCATCCAGTGTCCACTGGAGATCTCCCAGTAACAGAATCCAGATATAAAAGTGACACTTGAAATGGTTCCAGTTCTTGGCTGTGCACCAGGGAGCACTCCATTAGGCAGCTAACTCAGGCAGTTGACTGTTGCTGGGTTATGAGTTTTTCATGTGCTCTGTGAACCTTTTCAATTTGAACGAACATTTTTCGTACACTTGTTTAAATTTTCAACATAGGAAGTGAGACAAAATGATTAAAAAATTGAAATCTGTGACTGACATTTGATGCTGTAGACATGGAAATCCTTATCTCTTTCCTCTGCACAGTATAGCATCACCTGTTACCTACACCCAAGCTTTCAAAAGCGGTGAAGCTGGTGGCACTCATCTTGCTGACACTGAGCCTCGTCCTGTGCCATTTGTTTTGCTGTGTGGCCTCTTTGAAGCTGTTTTCATAATGTGCTGATCGCTGAGGTTTTCTTATAATCCCTTTATTTTTAAGGGATTAAGTGGACCCTGTACTCCAAACAAACGTTGCTGTGCTGTGGGGGGCACACAGATATCAGATGTTTGCTGGAAGGGCTACAGTGTAAACAGAGAGGTGTGGAAATCCTGCATCCTTGCTGGGTGAACCCTTTGGCCTTTAATTACTCAGAGCTGGGCCTCTCTGTTCAATCTGCTGAGCTAGAGACGAAGATATTAAAGGCTATAGCTCTTACACTATGTGAATTTCGACTAGGTTCTGTATTTAAATGACATTGTTTGATTTTCTGCTTTTGTTGTTGGAAAGGCTTACTGAAAGCAAATAGCACACTACTGTATTCAGGCTTAAAGAAAACAAAATTAAAGAAACGTTCCCTGTATGCATACCAGAGATATGTACGTACAGGAGAGTTCTGTGTAATGTCACTGTTTTCTTTAATTTCTTTGTTGAGAAGGAAGCTAGTGAGTTGGTGTTGAGGGGGAATGATAATGCAACTAGAAGAAAAAAAAAACACTTTTTCCCAGACAGCATAAAAAGTCTATTTTTGAATAAAGACTTAATTACAGAGCTCTTCTCAGAGCTTAAACACAACAAAGTGTTCATTCAGCCTTCTCAGATTACTTTTCAACTCGACCACAATATAGAGCTTCACAGCTGAAATGAAAACTGTAAAACAAAAATAATTTTGTTCCACATAAGCTTCGGAAACTGTAATGGTTGATGGATTTTGCCAAGTATCACCATGACAATTGTGGTGCATTTCTTTTATTTTTCTGTTTGGTTTCGGACACTAACCTTTGCTTTTATTGTAAGAAACAGAAAAATCTACTACAGAAAGCTGGTAAGATAAAATAGTTTTCAGCGTTTCTATTCAAATGAGTCTTCTGAATAAAACATCATGTACGCTTACAACCTATCTCCCATAGATAGTAAATTTGGTCTATAATATTTTACTGAAGGGAGCTTAAATATGTTTAAATTTAACCTTCAAACTTACCAAACATGGGAACGCAGAAAAAGGCCTGCCATGTGTACTATCAACTAAGCACACACATTCCTTTTTTGTTTTCCATTCATCCGTTTTCTAACTTCTTTATCTAAAGAAGAAGGGGGGAGCGGTGGCTCTGTGGCTCAGGATCTGCGCCTGTGGCTGGAAGGTTGCCGGTTCAAATCCCACAGTCGGCAGAGGAATCCTACTCTGTTGGGCCCCTGAGCAAGGCCTTTAACCCCAGCTGCTCCAGGGGTGCAGTATAAATGGCTGACCCTGCGCTCTGACCCCAAGCTTCACTCTCCCTGTGAGTCTCATGGAGAGCAAGCTGGGGTATGCGAAAAGACAAATTCCTAATGCAAGAAATTGTATATGGTCAATAAAGTGATCTTATCTATCTTATCTAATAAAGAGGGGGAGCAGGAACCTATCCCAGCAAGCAACAGGTCCAAGGCAGAATACACCCTGGATGGGAGACCAGTCCATCGCAGGGCTCACACTCACATTGTTATTACAAATCTTTATATGTAGGTTTTATGTTTCAGTTGTCTCTTTGTTCTCTTCATATTAACTCCCACAGTATGCAAGTATACAAATGTTTAGCTAGAGGAAAAATACTTTCATAATTATTTTTGTTTTGTTTTGATTCAGAGCCACAATCATATACTTTGCCAGGATGAATATTCGAAAAGATTTGGAGAAGTACCATGAAACCCAGTGAGGTCTGTAAGCACTGAGAATCATTGATTATAATAACGCAATATAATTAGTATCTGTTTTGTAAAATTCCACATTGATGTCATAGGATTTTAACAATCAGTCCTATAAGCTATACACTGACCACAGCCCTCTCTGCTGGGGAAGAGAAAAGATCCAACGTCTAAATTTTTCACCATGAATTGTGTACCACTCTCTGGAAACATTCACCAGACTTCTCTGCTGACACCACCATCAGAAGAGTCTGGTTTTACAACCTTTCCTTTTTCAGCTCCAGTGCTTAGAGGACTGCCCTCATAATAATAATTAAACATGGTCTCCCAGGCTGTTTTCATCAGCAGCCTATTAGAGATACTGGCGTTCTGCCTGCTTCTATAACATCAAATAGTAGCCTAGGGACTGATCAGGGTCTTATTAAAAACCCTCCATTGTACACATGCTACCTTGGGGCTCCATTAATGATTTCTCCCCAGCTAGGATCAATGCGGTCCCTCAGAGCCCTCAGAACAAGCACATTCAGACTTGTAAAGGAAGCATTTGTAGTTCAGAAAAAGCAGACGCCCATCTGTAAACCTATGTGTGAAGGCAGAGTGAAAAAAAGAGGTTTATACTTTCATACGTTTCCTGTATTGAAGGGGTACTACAATGAGAACTGTATCATGGGGTTATTAATTAAGCTCAAAATGACCTTTGGTTATGTAAATGTGAGATTTTCAGCCAGCTTTGTGGGCAACACTCAGTTTTGCCTTGGGGGGGGGGGTCCATCACAAGGCAGAAACCATGCTGGCAATCCATCTGCTACTAGTCTTTATCCTGTCCCCATGATTCTTTACAGGAAGTGACAGGATTGCTGCAGTAGCCCCATCAGCTTATTGAGCTCCACTGAGGTCCCGAAACGAGGAAATGTCAATGTGATTCAGGCCAATCCAGCATCTGGAAAATCCTCTGCAGTTGTAAATGCACACTAACCTGACATGTACTAAATGAATGTTTCGGATGCGACTTAAGAGTTCTGATCTCTTCCCAGGATAAACTGTTTTATGCTGTCTGTCTAATACTTTAAAACTATTTCACGCAATGAATCTTAGCAGAGCAGTAACACTCAACAGAAGTGCACACTGGACAAAAATGTTTCCACCTTCCAGGGAGAGACAGTGAAAGGTCAAAGTAATTAAGTGCCTTTTCAGGTTTTAACTTCCAAAAACATTCAACTAACCACTAGATGGATAGATTCAAACTCGCCTGCTTTTACAGTCCTGTTAGTCAACACTTAAAAATCTCCTTCCGTTGTGTGAAAAGCCTAAACAAGCTTTTCCCTTTATTCGAAGGCAGGCCTCCTTGCTACTTCATTGGTTTCTCACCATCAAGAGAAACTGTTCTGGGCCATTTTTTTTGTCTGAAGAAAGAACATGGAATTTAGAATTATAAGATTGTACTGTACCGAAAAGCTGGACTGTGCCACTACAAAGTTGCAGCATGTGCTTTGGTATAGTTTTGTGACCAGTGGTCTGTCATCCCAGTATTCGTACCAGACCACTAAATGTTTTGTAAAAATTCCATGATCTGCTTGTAGTGTAACCTATAACAGTGAAATTAGTGTATGGAGCCATACACAACACGTTTTCTTTAGTATGTGAAATAGTATCGTATGTCCTTGTACATGATGATTGACAAGGTTTCTGACTCCCGAAACATTTGCCATGAGAATAATCTGCAAAAGAAACAACATCTCCCCCTGGGTCAGGATGGTTTTCCTAGTGCAAAAATGGCAATGAGATGGCAGAGTGACAGTGGTTTTCCACACACACCTGTGCTGTAGACCAGGAAGCACGCAGGGTTGCCTGACATTCTGTGTGCTAGGAGGTTCCATTGCAGTTAAAACCCGCAGCCTGGCTTGTTGATCAATTCTGATAGTCACAGTCATGTGGGTTATGAGACTCAGACCTGCTACCTTTTTAAAGGTGTGAAAAGAATTTTGAACTCTCAACAGTCCGGAACGCTCTTCGTCATAAAAAATCTGGCATGAGAAATCAGCGCATGAGGGAACATGCAGTGTGTGGTCTGACAGGATTTACGCTGCCTAGTTTAACTGAGGGAGCAAGCTGTATTTGTTAAGCGTGAGAGTGGAACACTTCGTGAAGGAGTGAAGCCATCTGTAGGGGCCCGCCAGTCTCCGATGGGGGCAGACAACTCACGATCATTCAAAAAAATTGACATGTCTTTATTATCTCGTGAACAATGCCAAGCGGCCCCTACATTTGCTTATTTTGAACTAATCAAATGGCAAACAGCTGGAGCTCTGTTCTTTTTAGAAATAAAAATTTAGGACTAGCAATTTAACCTTGTTACTGATTCTGATTAGTAGACACTGCTTGCTGTCGCCTGTTGTGCTTCCCCGTGAACACTATTGAATTACCTTATTTGTCAATGAAAACTTAAACCTTTTACAAAGGACCTAGATATATATTTGACCTTTTTCTCTTTAATCACTTAAGTATAAAATCCAAGAAGCTAGAAGCTAACAAAGTAGAATATTTACCACAGTATAAGGGAGTGACCACTCCAGACAAAATACAAAAAATACTGGTACTGGCAAATATGATAGCACTGAAAGTTTCATAACCGTTTGAGACTACTTTTTGGGCAGTAGCGGTACTTCAAAGAGATCCACATTTAAAAAGAGAATCTGTAGGAAAAGTGTCAAAGTGAATATAATGTTGAATACGAAAATGAAAAGAGGTTGTGGTTTTTTATTGGAAACTCACAAACTGATAGCATTGGGTGCTCTCTCATTTATTACTCACCCTGCCAACTAAAAACAACTCTGGTAAAACCTAATTGTAACCACGTGTGAAATTAATGCCTAGAAAATGAATGCCGCAAAGAGGGCATTTTTAGGTAAATTCCCAGCTGTTGAGAGTTTTGAAAAAATAGAATTTATGTTATTGCAGCTTTCTTACTAATGAGATGTCTAAGACATCTTAGACCCGTGATGACTGTGCTCCAAAATGTAACATGTACAGTACAGTAGCAGAGCTATTGAAAGGTGACTTAAAACATTCTGTACTGGTTTCACAGAACCTGATTATCAATGGTCCTGGACTCATATGCCAGAAATTTAATAGCAAATAGCCCAAGATTAATGCTCATAAAGGTCAGCGAATCTACTTCAATGTTTGACTAATTCTTATTGCCAACTGTGTACAGTTTTGAATGAAATTTAAAAAGAATAACCATTTTGCAAAAATCAGGATAGGATTAAATACATTTCTTTGTAGCCGCCCACACACAATACTTGATATACTGATATATAATGACAACTTGATGAAACAGAACCTTACACATGAGTGATCTTGATCATTGATCTTTAATGCTTTCTTTTAAAATGCATATCTCTTTTACATGTATTAGTGAAGTTCAAACAAATATGAAAACTCATTAACCATCATTCAGCAAAAAATAGAACATTATTAGTATATTGTATGGTTGGGAATTGATACTTTTAAATTACAAAACAAAAGTATTCTGAAAGCATTCATGTGGTACACAAGACCTATCATTCTCTTTTGAAACAACATATAGTCATTAGTACAGTATGTGACTGTTTTAGTAGCCTGGAAGAGAGACAAGTATTAATTAAATAAAAAACAGATGGCCACCCCCACCAGCTCTCTCTCTCTACCCAAGCTGTCTTCACCTCTGCTCCCGACACCGGCTGGCTGCTTTGTCACTTTAAGCCCCTGCTGAACAGGCCCCATGTTATGACAGCGCCTTGCACAAGGGATGTGGTTTCTATGGCAGCCACAAGCATGACCCTTATTTTTAAAGAGCTTTTGAGGAATGTGAGAGAATTAAAGTAGAGGATGAGCTTTATAGAGCAAGAATGAAAAGCCCTTTTATTTGTAGTCCTTCCTTTTTAGTTAATTTCAGGCTTTTGTGTCCCATTTTACTTCATTTTCTTTCTTTATTGGAGACGGTGTGAATTAGATTGGCTTTCAGCTGCTTGTGCTCTAAATATTGATGTAAAAGCAACAAAGGAAATTTTTGTTGTTGCTGCTGTTTTTTTCCTCTTAATTTTTCAAGGTCTAAAAGTGTGTAAAATTGAATCCTTGATGGACATGGCCTACATCCAACATGTTCAATGAAGAGTGAGGAATTTTATAATTGTATTTCCTTTGTTTTTCTTAAAGCGTAAAACTGCATATATCTTTCTGGCTTTCCATATCCTGTTTGTTTTCCCTAATTTGACTACTTAAACTGCAAAAAATGTTTTTAACTAGTTCCATAAAGGAACCAGAAATTCCAAATGTGTCGAGAGTGTGTTACTGAGAACACTTAGAAAGAAATCTGATTATATTCCTTTAGAGTACTGACTGAAAAGTTATTTTTGTTTGGTTTTAAAATGGGAACCAGATGCTTTATTTTTCTCTGTGTTTTAAATTTGTCAACATTACAAGAAAGTACAACAAATGTCTCACTTTTGCAGGGCACTGTGTGGTCCTGTTGGACATGTGGTGAAGTGAAGAACATTTGTTGCACAGTTACAAAATAATTGTTATTCCTTAATTCTCTGTTGTGTACAACAGGCTATCTGATTAACTCCAGATGCACGATACACTGTATCATATTTTATCATTAAATCTATGTAATTGCTTCAACTGAATCTGTATTCCAAGCTCATATTTATTACTTGGACTTAGTTCAAATTGTATTTATAATGTAAGGAGTTGTTGAAAATTAATTTCATACAGCATAGCCTCAAGTAATGGCTAACCCTACATTGCATTATTTTTAAATTATTATTTAGACCATTATTATTTTTCTCTGTATTTGACAGTTCTGAAAATGGCAAAGAAGAATGTAGTATGTAAAGAAAGGCTTGCTGAAATCTGTTAAAATATTGTTCATTATGCTGCACTATGGACTGTAACTATTGAAACAAGTACTACAGCGTGCTATGCTATCTTCTTTCTGGCTGGTTTTCTTTTGGACTTTTGTTTTCTTA